GTAGATTTATCAAAGGCATTTGACACTATTTCACATAACATATTGCTAACTTAACTTAAAAAATATGGTATTAAAGGGCTTGCATGTAATATAGTCGAAAGTTATCTTCTAAACAAGCAGTAATATGTTCATATAGATAAAGAAATTAGTAAGGGAAGAATTATATCTTTTAGATTCCAGTAGGGAATAGTCTTAGGACTAATTTCCTTCAGTATTTTGTTTGGCATTTGGCCTTCTTCCATCCTTTCTACATGTCCTGTCCAACGCAGCCGTCCTATTTTAATGAATGTTATAATATCTGGATCCTGGTATATTTTGTATAGTTCGAAGTTGTATCTTCTTCGCCAAATTCTGTTTTCTTTAGTGCGCTTATATATGTGTCGCAAGATTTTTCTTTCGAAGGTAGCTAACAGCGTTTCCTCTCTTTTAGTGAGTGTCTAGGTTTCTGAGCCGTATGTGAGTACTGGTCTTATTAAGGTTTTGTCTATTTGGCATTTTGTTTTTCTTGAGACGTTATCTGATCTTAATTGCCTAATTAAGCCAACGTTATTATCAGACGTGACTAGGAATCCCAAGTATATAAAGTTTCTTACCCCCTCAATGTTGTATTCTCCTATTGTTATATTTTGTGGCTGCCTTATTTCTGCGTTTTTACTTACCTGCATATATATTTTGTTTTGGTCTGATTGATTTTAAGACCACTATTTTGTGCAGCTCGTTCTATTTGGTTGTATTCCTCTATCATTTCTCTTCTTCATCTTGCGATTATGTCAACATCATCTGCAAATGCTAGTATTTGCATGCTTTTATTAATGATTGTTCCTCGAGTATTAACTGTTGTGTCCTCTCAGTATTTTCTCGAGTACGATGTTGAACAAGATGCATGATAGAGCGTCTCTCTGGCGTAGTCCTTTTTCACATCTATTGTTTCCGTTAATTCAATTTGTATCCGGATTTTACTTTCTACTTTTAGAGATTTTTTATCAGTTATATTAGTTGTGTTGGTATATTAAATTCTTTCATTGCTTTTATTAAGAATGGGCGGTTTATATTGTCATAAGCGCTTTCAAAGTCTACGAAGAGATGATATATGTCGATGTTATATTCACTTATTTTTTCAAGGATCTGTCGCAGAACAAATATCTGGTCTATTGTTGACTTCTGTCTACAGAAGCCACTTTGGTATTTGACCAACTATTCTTTTAGCGTGTGGTCTAAGTCTTTTATAACTAACGTTGGACATTACTTTGTATGCTACATTTAGCAGCGTGATTCCACGGTAGTTTCCACATTCTAACTGATTTTCTTTTTTATGTAATGGTACAATAATACTGCTATTTCACTTCGCTGGTATCTGTTGATTCGACCATATCTTTGTTATCAATTCAAGTATGATTTTTTGTAGTGCGTCTCCTCCTTTCTTCAGTAACTCCGATGCTATTTGATCGGATTCCGGTGCTTTATTGTTCTTTAATTTGTCTACTGCTGTTCTAATCTCGGCAATTATTGGTGGAGTATTTTCTCTGTTGTCTGCTTGGTCTAATGGCATGTCAGGATTCGTCTCTCTCCGATCTCCTTCAAGCTTTTCCGTAAAATGTTCTGTCCATCTACTTAGTATCTCTTGCTGTTCTGTCAATATATTACCTTCCTTATCTTTACACACGGTTTGTTGAAGTCTTTTCTGCTTTTGTTCAGTTTTTAATAAAATTTTCTTGTCTCTCGTAAATAGTTTCTCACTCATTTCTGTCTCTGTTGTTTACTTAGTTCTTGTAGTTCTTGAAGTTCTTTGTTCACAAGCAAATGCATGCAAATGGGGTAATTTAAACAAAGGCCGAAACTTTTTTTTTAAATTACGAGAAAGAGATACAATTCCAAAATAATATTAAATAAGCTAACCTCACATGTAGATAAAACAAAGTATATGGCACTTAACATCGTATGTAAGTAACCTTCCAAATCTTGGCTTATTAAAACTCGATACAAATAATGAAATTACATATACATACGAGATTAAATATCTTGGTATCATAATTGATAAACATTTACGATGGAATTCTCAAGCAAATAATATAGTAATTAAATTAAGAGGAATACTATCAAGATTCAAATTTTTAAAACAATTTTTAGGAATAACTCATTTACGAATTCTTTATTATGCACTTATACAATCTCAACTTACCTATGGCATTTTATGATGCTAGTAATTACTTGCATTCTATAAACATTATTTAGAAGTGGCTAATTAAAATTATTTATGGGAAAAATTTAAGATATTCTAGCGAGCTGTTATACAATGAAAGTCAGTTATTATGTTTATTATTGTTTTTAAATGCTTATAACTAATAAACTAATTAAGACATAACCTTTTTTAAACCATAACAAATGTTAAATTATCGGGTACATCAAATATTTTTTCTCATAACTTTGCCTCTTGCTAAACGTACAAAAGATTTAATGTATTTCATTTTAAAACTATTATAAGCTTGTAGCATTTTTGTTTCACCCTGTATATCGTAGGAAAATGGTTCATATTCTTTTGTTTTTAAGATTGATAATCTAAACATTTTGGAGTCGGTTTATATTTACCAGCTGCTCTTTCGAGAAGAAATATAAATTGTCTACGAGGAATTCGTTTGATCTCAGTTCTACCATAGAGTTGAAATGCTGATTATCAAAGCGACGATTTATGCAATAGATTAATAGATGTCTACTTTAGAATTTTTATCGTCCCCACTAAGGGAGAATGAATTTTGTCATCTTTTCACTTCTATGTTGCCAATCGTAGTGGAGTCGAGCCCAGAGGGCTGTTTTCTTTTAAACGTGATGAATTTTTATTAATTCAAGAGTTTAGACTCAGTGCCGAATAAAGAACAGTAAGCCAAGTTCGATGTAAACTTTAAATAATTAACGTGTAATTTAATTTAAAACGTGTCAAAATGTTTGTACATACAATCGCAGAATATTTTCTATCCGATGAACCAAAGAAAGATACCTGATATTGTTTATAACTTTTATTACATATGTATTTAGTGTAGTGCAGTGCCACATTTTTCTGTATAGGGTATGTTTCCCGATTTTTTTATTTGTAGCAATCTTTGTTTTTTTCTACAATCTGAAAGTTTGTATGTTCAGTATTCTAGAGATTTCGGGAAATTGTTATATTTTTTGCTTCAGCTATTTTGTAAGTATTTTTTTTATAAGATAGTAAGTTATAATACCGATAATATCATAATGATTATGTTATAACTGAGTTATTATTAAAGAATTTTTGCTAATTTTTGCTGTTTAAATTCACCTATAGGGATATCCACCACAAGGTATTCTCTAAAAACTCTATAAAAATTCTTTTTATATCAAAGGCATCACTGATAACATTCTCAATGAATCAATCAAGAGGAAAAAAAAGATGGAACAAAAGTCTTGATAACAAACTTCATCAAATCACTTTATCATAAACCACCCAAAAATTTTAGTACAATATGTGAAAGATTTTAGAATTATTGTATTATTTAAGCCATGAATCAACTGCTCTTAAATTCGAAATATATTTATTATTAAGTTTGAAACAAAAATATTAAATTACATATTTATTTAGTTTTGTATTAAATTACATATTTATTCAGTCATTTTCTAAACACCTCGTTAAAGAATAAACCACAAATTAATAAATAATTCTTCTTTATTCAAGGTTTCGGCTTCCAAATCGGAAGCTATTTACAGAATGGCTACTGGTCTAAAAACCATGATTTTAAATATATAATTTAATTTGTATAAAGTTCGTCATTCTTATTTCATATTTTAAAACCCTTAAACTATAAACTAATAACTATAAACAGACAAACTATTAAGATCAAATATGTTTTTTTTCTTCTAATAATAGTCAAATATTATTAAATAATTGTTGAAAAACCCACCACTAATGAACAATGGACTTATGTTCTTGAAGATGAGATGTTAAAATGATATATCAAGGTTAAAAAGCTAAACTATCCCAGATAGGTAGAACGAACCGATCAGAGTCATGCACCAAGGACAAAATGGTCAGGCCCAAGGGTTCTGGAAAGGATAAAAAACTAACAAATTCAAAGTTACACACACATAAAAGACACATCAGAGTATTAAAAATTAATAACATGTAACGTAAGCGTTATTCTCAGACAAAAAGCTTCTATAAAAATTAGAGGAGGAATTGACAGATATACAATGGGACTTAATGGAAGAAGACATTGTAAAGAACAATTTTCAACTTTAACATCGGGCCACATGCTATACATAAATAGCAATCTGGAAAATTCAAATGGTTGCATTGCCTACTTATCCATAAAAACCCTATAAAGTATAATGAATAGGAATGGGAAGAGATACAAAATGAAAGTTGCACAAAATTATGCTCCAACGTTAACGGTTTTGGAATATTAACATTTAGTAGAAGAAATGCCAGTAAATTAAGAGTAACCCAAAGAGCGACAGAAAGAGCAACAATGGGGATAACAAGAAGAAATATGATACCAAACAGGATGGTAAGAGACGACTTAAACAACAGGTCATAAAAAAAATTACACAAGCCAAGTGGAGATAGGCTGGCCCTATAGGATGTTTAAAAAACTTGGACAATAGAGGCCTAGAGACAAAAAAAGACACCTAGGTATACCACCAACAAGATGGAAGGACGACTTATGAAAAAAAGCACGAAATTGGATGCAAACATCCACAGGATGCACAGTCTTGAGAACAGTGGAAGAGAATGGAGAAGATCTATGTCCAACTGTGGTGAATACAAGAGTTTGATAGATAAAGATGATGATGATGACGATGATATACAAATTTAGACTATCTGCTCAGTTTAAAAAAGGCAATCGTAAAACAATTTAAAATTATATCTTCATAAAGATAAATTATTATTATTAAGCCTGTGGATCACTATGGTACTGATTTTTTTACATATTTAATTATATAATACCAATTAACCATGTTCCCTTCATAATTATTTAAAGTCTTACCAAATTCACAAGTATCCATATCAACGGCTGGCAAAGTCCTCATATATTCCCTACACTGTCCATTACCAAGTTTTCCGTAGCATTCCCCGTGTTTTTTAGCATTATCGCTGCAGCAATCTTGACTCTTCATGTTACCTGTGCTAGCAAGATCATGAAGAAGCAATTCGGTCCAAGCTCCCAAAAGAGCAGTAACAGATTCGTGCTTGGTAGCAGGATTGCTCTGCAGTGTGGAAGCGACATCTATAGGACTGGGAAGTGAGTGAGAGGTGACGGACTGTTTTGGTTGCGATTTATCTGAAAATAAAAAAAAATGAATAAACATTTTATTAAGTATATAGAAGAGATCCCTGCTATTGTTAATATAAGATTTTAACACGAATTGTAGACAAGTAAGACAAGTCATACATTTCACTTACTCCTATTTTTCACAAAGGAAGAGGATACAGAATGGGAAACAAAGAAATAAAAATGCTCTGTTACGCAGACGACGAAATTTAAACCGTTATATATAATTATAATTCAAAGTTTATAAAGCACTTGAATGTCTTGTAAATAAACAGACTTGCATATTTCTGAGTTTTATTCAACATTTCTTGTATATTATCTCCCAACTGGTGTTGGTTTCTTTTAGTAGATATTGATATTCTTTAAAGAAATGCTTGACTGTTAAGGGACTTTTGCAATGGCCACATGCAGGTGGATCGGTAGATACCATAAGAAAGCCATGTGTAAGCCGAGTGTGTCCAATTCTTAATCTTCTTAGAATAACTTTGTTTCTGCTGGGCATAGGAGGTAGGTCTAAAAAAGATATAACTGGTTGTATATCGTGTAAGTAACTCGGTGTTTTAATTAGCTTGCCGTTTGTCATATTATACGCTTTTTGAACATTTTTTTAATATCATTATGCATCTTAATATTTGATACAGGTATATCCCAAGTAGAAGCCTCTTTCGCGGCTATATCTGCATCCTCATTTTGTATAAGTCCTACATGCGAAGGTACCTAGACAATAGTGACAATTAGTACTTCATGGTCCGTAAGTTTATTATATTAATCATGTATTAAATTTACCAGAGGATGATCTGAGAACATGTTTTTAATTACTTGTATTGATTATAAGGAGTCTGTACAAACTGTCACAATGCGATGAGTTGGTTTCAACATACGAAAAGCCTTGACGATACCATATAGTTCTCCAGTGTATACACTACAAACGGCAGAAAGTCTGGTGAGTTTTGTAGTGCTAAAATAGCAAACAATAGCACTACCCACCCCTACGTCATTTTTAGAGGCATCTATATAAAAAACTTTATGAAATTAATTTCGATTACATATGTATAGGGACGATTATTTAATTATAGCTTAAGGAGCATTTTGTTTATTAAAAGAGCAAAGGGGGGTATTGACATTCGAAAGATTCGGAAATCTGAGAATGATAAATGAGATTATTTTGTTTAATAGGTAGTTGGTAGGCTGGATTTTGTGGATTGGCTAATAAACTAGCTTGCTAATTATAAAAGAAGATGTTGTCTCCTTAACCAGAGTGACAATTCGTTAGCTTTACAGTACATGGTTTGAGTTGAACTAGATCTGAAGGCACCTAAACATATTCTAAGACGTATTGTGTACGGAGTCAAGAGCTTTTAGATGTGACTTGGAGGCAGACATGTAAACAAAACTACGATCGTCTATTTTGGAGCGAATATGGATCTGTAAACTGTGAGCAATAACTCTTCGTCAGCTCTCCATTGTAAATGTGCTAGACTTTTTAGGTTATAATTTTTTTTATAGGCATAGATATATCAAGCACCCATGACCCAGTAAAGGACCTGAGGAGTCAGATCAACAAAGCATCTGCACTGTCAGGATGTCTGCGGAGATAGTCTGGTCTAATCCGTATATGCGCACAGATAGTAAAATTAGAATCTATAAGACTTGCATACGACCGATCATGACATATGGCATAGAAGTGCGCGAAGATACCAACAAAACGAAACAGATGCTAAGGGTTGCCGAAATGAAAACCCTAAGAACAATAATGGGGAAAACAAGAAGGGACAGAGTGAGGAATACAAACATTAGAGAGCAGTGCAAAATTCAAGATATTGTAAGATGGGGAAAACAGCACAAGAGGATGTGGTACAACCATGTAAGACGAATGGATGAGAATAGACTCCCAAAAATTGCCCTAGAAAACAGTCCGCCTGGTTCAAGACCTCCCGGAAGACCACCTAAAAGATGGAGGGATAGTTGGCAATCTACCTCCCAAGAAATTAACCAGAGGCAGCTTCAGAATTAAACAGATCGAAAGATCTACAAAAAGTAGAAGAAGAAGAAGAATTTTTTTTAAGCAATTGCCTTTCGTTTCCTGTATGTGTGTATTCAAATTAAGTCTAGAGTCGAAAGGCAGTCCTAATACTTCATGATGATCAATAACATCTAGTAATACTCCGTCGTATGTCAAAGTGGACATACAACTCCTTTGTATTTTTTGTCGTTTTTCTGCCATTTAATGATTTTAGTTTTTTGAGATGAGAGAAAAAACCAAATATGCCTTGACCATCTTTCTATATTATCAATGGCTGTTTGCATTAGTCGACAGGTTGTTTCGATATTCTTTTCTCTGTAAAAGAGTACAAGGTCATCAGCATATAATGCGTATTTAACTGGGAGATGAATAATTTGCCTAAATCATTAAATGCCAAAGTGAACAAAGTTGTGCTTATAACAGAACCTTGTGCTACTCCATTATGTTGAATACGAGTAGATGACAGCTTTCTGTTTAAATAAGTTTAAACGTTCTATCATTTAAACAATTCTGCACAAAGTAGTATATGTTTCCACCAAGTTCACATTGTTGAAGATTTTGGAGAGAGAGTTAACAGGAGAAGTGAAGGCATTAAAAGAAAATGTAGCGTACAGTGTGTAAATAAATGGACACAAAATAAAAAAAAAGAAGAAAATAACCACATAAGCAAAATGGGGGAGATTCCTATGACAGTGTCCAGGGAGTGACAAATTTTCATAGAGATATTAATCCGCCAATGAACAAGCAGAATTATTTATAAAGTGGAAGAAAAAGAAGACCTATTTTTGTCGGGATTAAATTTTCCATTGAATGTTAATAAAATGTTTAACAGTCAAAATACCAAATACGATTCATGTATTCTTTTCAAGATGGTGGAGGGTTAGTTCTATAGAAGACAAGCAACTAAAGTAAAGAACCGTTGACAAAAGAAAAATACTTTGGGTAGAAGACTAGGTCCAGGTTAGTACTAACTCTAATAACGCATTACTGCCCAAAATTAATGCACCATCTTAATGTACTATAGGTTTGAAGCCATTTTTCTTTTGAACGGATTATTCATAATTTAAATGGTGAACAAATGTCAAAATCACAGCATTCTCCATTTAAAATTTATTAATTTCTACATATTTTGCACTGTTTTATGTATTTAAGATCTTTCAGACTACATAAAATCAAGAGAACATAATGGTTGAACTCGTATTGAATAGCTGAACTCGTGTGAAATTCACATTGAATGCGTGAAAAGCATACCCAAAGACCACAAAAATTAAATGTATAGTCAGATATAGTACTTACTTATTCAATTGGGTCATTTTTTGTCGAAAAAAATTTAACGTCAGATAGTTGGTGTAAATGTTCGGCGATATTTGGATGAGATATTTCCTGGAGGATAAATTGGTAGACAAGGTAGAATTGAATGGCCTCCACGTTCACCTGATTTCAATCCTAAAGATTATTTTTATTAGGGATACTTGAAAAATTCAGTTTACAAAACTAAACCAGCAAGTCTTGCAGAGCTAAGGCAACGAATTATCAATGAATCTCGAATAATTTCTAGACAATCATGAAGAAATGTGGTAGACGCCTTCTACCATCGATTAGGGTGCTGTCAACTCACAAATTGAGCACATTTTGAACGCTTAATAATGTTAAAAAATGTTCTACACTATCAATTGTTACGTTTTAATGTATTTGAAAATAGTTAGTATTAAAAAATTTATTGAAACAATTTAGGCGTTGCCAGACTTCGGTTTTATGTATTTATGACCTTCCAGATTACATAAAATCATAAGTGTTACATATGGTTGAACTTGTATTAAATAGGAGATTCCAATAATGACTGAATATATAGGATGATGTATTTGAAAAACCAAAGTTACTATAAATAATATAAGAAAATCGGCAAATCTGGCAACATTGTAAATATCAAATATGGAATCTCCGTATCCCAAAATAGGCGTACCTCAAATTTTATACAATTATGAGTAGCATTTTACGAGATAATTAGCCGTTTCCAGACTTTTGGGCCACTCTGTATATGTTATAATATATTCTGACTAAAATGACTAAGGACTAATAAAAAAGTATTGTCAGTGAAAAAAAAAAACGTTAGTTTTCTTAAGTAGATTCTACAATAAAAAAATTTAAACTGCCGCCGCTATTAAGATTACTATCAGTGATAGTAGCCATTACAGTTAAAAGTTAAAGTTGTCAAAATCTTCCGTACTACATTGACGTCATCATGCATTTTTAAATTCATTTGGTAGTTTTTTCACTGGCTATTCTCCGTCATTGGTTCTATTTCAATAAAGTAAATATTTAATATTTACTGTCATTGACATTTATTTATAAATCAGTCATTGGATCAGTTTTAACTTTTAAAGTATTCGCAGAACTCGTTGAGTTCAAGGTGGCCAGTAGCCTCTGTTTCCAACGGCTAAATTTTCCAAGGGCTATTCATCGAGATAAACAATATCCTATCTCCTCAGTTGGACTAAAAATACACTTTTACAAAATTCTATTGCAATCTGTTTAGTGGTTTTTAAAAATTGTAAATTATAGTTGTTTTTCCAGTTGCCTATAATTATAGGTTGTTGAGTAAAAAAATGCTGGTTTATTGAAACAAATGGATTCTTTGATTGTCTTTGAAAAACCGTGATTTGGTATAATTTACAATTTGGAAATGCTACGGAGATAAATTTTCTGCAAACACCTTGAGTGACAGTGGGAACCCCCATTAAAAAATACCTACGGATCTTATTTATACGGATATATTTAGAAGCAGCAATTAAACTAAAACCTATTAAAGTAATCTTATAAGTAATTACTTGCACTTGCGAAAAATAATAACATATTGACAACTATGTTGTAAAATTAAGCAAAACATTTATCTACTAATAATAATAAATGGTAAAAGAGATAACTTATGCAGAATAGAAATATTAAACAAAGTTGTTATAATAATATAAAATATATTTGAAGTATTGAGCACTTAAATTTAAAGACAAATAAGA